CCTTTCATCCGTCATATTACGGACATCTTCAGAGCGAGGTAACATCGTCACAACGAAATTCAAGCTAACGAGTCAAGAAAACTCCTTTTCACCGGACTCCGATGACTTTTCTTGACTCATTTGCTTGAATTTTGTTGTGAAGATGTTACCTCGCTTTGATGATGTTCGTCATATGACGGACGAAAGGTTAGCACCTTTTTACCGGAATCGAAGTTAATTGCCTCGGAAACAGCGTCAGCATGAATGTTCCAGTAAAGCCAATCGACAGTTGCTCAAGAGGAATCGGCCGTCGTCATCGGGTGGAACCGACCGTTGAATCTCTTCACCCAACACTTCCACTCGAAATGGAAGTAAGCTCAACAATTATAATAAAGGTCGTTTACGACCAACATGGCGCCAATAAAAATGAAGTGAACCCACCTTGACTGTTTCCGTCTTTCCTGTGCCTGCCGGACCAGCTGGAGCCCCGCCAAGATTCATGTTCAACGCCTGAGCCAGAGTAATGTAACAGCGATCCGTCAATGGTGTAATGACGAGACGTTCAGTGCAGCCAAGGAACTCATTCTGATATTCAAAGTCGACATCCGTGATCGAGATGACGCACTTGTCCAGATCGTCCATAAAGTAAGTACGTGTCTGCTTGGTCCACTCAAAGTCGGTGTCAGACTTAATGTTCATCTTGCTCTGAAATTCAGAAGAGTGTATAGAACAAAGTCTGTACTAGCCGAGTTGTATTGTCCTCTGTAAATTTACTAAAATCATGCAATTGTCAAATAATTTGCGGTTTAATGGCTAGTCACTTTAGTTATCTAAAAGTCTGGATTTGAGTTTGGAGCTCGCCTTGGTTGCATAAGCATGCCAGGAGGACTCAAAAGTTGAATCTGACTGGTAAGCGGCCCCACCTCAATACCCAGTCAGACTAATCGAAAGTATTTGGTAAATAGACATTCTTGACTATCATTAAATCTTTAATAAAAGCTGTATTTACCGTAAGTGATTAAATATTGATAAGTGAATTTTACCACGTTCTCATTGAATTTCATTCAGCTTTATTTTCCAAAGGGGCTGGACTAAATTTCAGTTTCTACCTCACTTGGGCATCATTTACTCATAGCCTCAAAGACACACTTTCCAAAATAATAAGTAATTTACTTCGTATAATCGACAGTCTAACTATAAAAATTTGATATGTTAGGGGCCAAGATTGATTTGAGACTCACACTGAACTACCTTGCTTTCCTTCCCGCTAAGGTTGCTAAGGTCGCAACTTTTTTGACGAATTCCGTTTTTTGTAGCGGCGTGGAGGAAAATGTTGACACATTTGCTTAAATCATACATT